CCAACCACCCACCCCATCTCCCTTCCCGTCTTTTCATTCATAACTCATCATATTATTGTGAACAAAATGAATAAATAAAGTAAACTATGTACACGCACTTGTTTTGTAAAACAGGGAAAGTCAATTTTGATAACTTAAGCATTTAAAGTGGGCCTACAAGGTTTTGTAAACAAGCATGGCCCATTACCATTACGCAAGCAAAAGACTTAGATCGAGGTGAACGTGCGGACAGAAAGCTCAGACGGTAGAACTGGGTTAGTTTGGGACAGGAAGAGACAGACAGGCAGAGAGAGAGAAAAATGAGAAAGGTGGGGAAGGGGAAGAGGAAGGGGGGGGGGTGTGAAAGAAGGATGGATGGGTTGTTGGTATGTGAGGAAGAAAGAGGAAAAGATTAACGAGTGGCAGCCGTAGAGAGCAGACAAGCATCATGTGATGATGTGCGAACATGAGGACATTCGTCTGACAAATTGGCCCCTCCCACTCGTGCCGAGATTTCTTTATAAACAGCGTTCTCAACAAGCAGAAACAACTCGGATTCCTGCTCTAAAACAAGTTCATCACCAGCAAGCCTGAGGGACTTCCTTGTTTGGCATTCTCACCTTCTATCAAAGTAAGTCTACCGTTCTCACCCTGGCCAACAGCTAGATACTATTCATTGCTATAACATTTGATTGCGCCACACCTATTCATGACTTCAAATACGAGTAGTTCAGCTTAAAATTGTCCCAAATATCTTTTTTTAATAAATAAATATATTCTCTGTGCTATTTTGGCAGTACAGCTGCATATTAAAAATTGTGAATAAACTGAAACGTGTATTGTAAATTTTGATCAGTGTAATGGTGATGCGTGTAGTAGAAATTGTACAACTTGTTGCAAAGTATTGCTGAAAATGATTTTACTCAATGTTATGTCTGAAATCAAAATCAGAAAGACTATTGCCACTCATTGCCAGGAGACAACCTATTACTTTTTAAAATAAATCACACGATTTCGATTATTAAGAATAATAAGCAATGTTTATATTTGGTCGTCAGTTGATACTGTATTCTGAAATCAGATTAAAAAAGTGTTCTATTTGCTTACTCCGATTTTGGGGTAGGGGAAAATAAAATAATTTTCTGCGCATGCACACCGTCACCTTATCTTTGGTGAGTGGGGTTTTTTTCAGGTAATGTGCATTATTCTAGAAGTGTAACGGTACACAGAATTGCTATGCTGTGTTCATTCACTTTGCAAGCTACCATGATATAGATTTGCTTATTAAGTTATTGTATGAAGAGAATAACTTGAAACGAGTCTACGGTAAACCTTGAAAGTCATATTCCAAAGCCAATACAAAGATGTAAGCACCAATGACAAATTTCTAAAACGAAAACAATAGTTAAGATCAATCGCCTTGACTAAACTGTATTTGTCCACAGACCCCACCTCTTTGCTCCACCATGAACGCCTTTGTTCCTGTATTCCTTGCTGCTTGTGTGGCCGCAGCTGCGGGTAAGTTGGAGCCATCGACGTGGAACTGTTTGTTTGTAAAAGTACAAATGCATTAGTAGGAATGCATTGCTTATTGATTTTAGAAAGATTTGCCATTCCTATCTCTTGCCAGTATATTATACCTTCTCTCTCTCTCTCTCTCTCTCTCTCTCTCTCTCTCT